TTTTTTTTTTTTTTTTTTATTACCAAAAACAATAGATTGCATAATCTGTTGTATTTATATTCAGTTACATTCATTTTAAATAAAAATCCCCTTTTATTAGCAACTATTTGTTGTTATTAAGCATTTTTTATTATGTAATAATTTGCTAATTTAAATAATAATAAAACATTTTGTCACATTTTTATTGGAAATATACATTACCATTCAAAAGTTTGGCCTTTGTAAGATTTATGTTTTCGAAAAAGTCTCTTATGCTCACCAAGGCTGCATTTATTTGATCAAAAATACAATAAACACAATAATATTGTGAAATATTATTACAATATGGAATACCTGTTTCCAATTTTAATATTTTTTTACATTTTTTATTTTACTCCTGTGATGGTAAAGCTGAATTTTCAGCATCATTACTCCAGTCTTCAGTGTCACGTGATCCTTCAGAAATCATTCTAATATGCTGATTTAGTGTTCAAGAAACATTTCTTATTATTATCAATACTGCAAACAGTTGTGCTGCTTAATATTTTTGTGGAAACCATGATAAATTTTTTTTTCAGGATTCTTTGATGAATAGAAACTTTATATTCATCAAAGAATCCTGAAACAAATGTATGTAAAAGAGCAGCATTTATTTGAAATATAATTTTTTTTTTTTACATTATAAATGTCTTAAGTCACTTTTAGTTCAGTCCTTACTGAAAAAGTATTATTTAAAAAATCTTACTGACCCCAGTCTTTTGAACAGTCTAGTGTTTCTAGATGTATGTGCTATGACTTTTGCATTAGTGACCAAAAACCAAATATTTTGGCTTAATCTTTTGTATTTATATTCAATCAAATTAACCTATAAAAGTCTGTACCGAGTCTGCCCTGATTTAGCTTGGTAGCATGCTTTGTGCATGAGAGAGAGGTGGGGAACCAGATTGTGATCACCGTCTGCTCTGCTTACTTCAGCTTTTAGGGATGATCCTGTCCATGTGCCTCTGCAAGAGTGTCCAACAGGAGGATTACACCAAAGTACCCAAATACTGAGAGCAAACCCCTCTTCAGTGACTCACCCCACATCAGAAAACACCAGTGTTACAGCCTCTCCACACCAGCAACAACTGGAACAAAGCATCACCCACATACACATATCCGTTCTTCACTTTATTATCTCCCTTAAACATCGAAACATCATCCTGTTTAGGATCAGCATTTTACGATGAGGATTGTTGTACCTTTTTCTTTTAAAGAAACTAGTGATCTTTTCTTGTTAGTGCTCTGCGGGGTCTGAATAGCTTTATATTTGTATAGCTACATATACTGTACGCTGACTGTTGCATTTATGCTTTTCATTGTTAGTTGAATCTGAGAGCACTTTAGTGGATAGCGAGTTTGAAATGGGAAAGAGCTATTAGCTACTTTTAAAATATTTTTATAAACTAGAGGGGAAAATCAACACTTGTTTTTTTTTTTAACCTTTTATCATTTTTATTTGTTTTAGAATTGTGTATTTTCAGTTTGGTTATGTGTATATAAATACGATTGACATACTTCAATGAGGTTTATTCTTACTGAATAACTACTACATCATAGTTAACGCAGCACTTGATGGCTTTTCTGCATGTATGCGAAGTGTTATTATCCGGGGCTGGGTCGCTCCGGGCGGAGGCAGGTGCGGTGTGGGTAAAGATGGCTGAGGTTGAGGAATGTTAGGGCAAATGACAAGTCGTAGTGTAGCGTTTCTTGTGGTTTACATGTGAGTTGGCCTACATCTCTCTGGATCAGGGTGTGTATGTGGATTTAGGTTGGGTGCGTATCCCACAGATCCTTCTGCTGTGATGGTGTGGGTAAAACAGCTGTTCAAGTATGTCTGTAACAGGCATTAGATACAGATCCTGCTGACTAGCTTCAGCTGTAGCCTGCAGCACCACAGCAACGTAACATCTGTCTTCCTGATACTGACCCATTTCAGCTGAACCAAAACAGGTCTGCGTGATGAAGTTGTGCGAGGCTTTTTAAAGGGGTCATTTTTTTTTTTTTACATTATAAATGTCTTAAGTCACTTTTAGTTCAGTCCTTACTGAAAAAGTATTATTTAAAAAATCTTACTGACCCCAGTCTTTTGAACAGTCTAGTGTTTCTAGATGTATGTGCTATGACTTTTGCATTAGTGACCAAAAACCAAATATTTTGGCTTAATCTTTTGTATTTATATTCAATCAAATTAACCTATAAAAGTCTGTACCGAGTCTGCCCTGATTTAGCTTGGTAGCATGCTTTGTGCATGAGAGAGAGGTGGGGAACCAGATTGTGATCACCGTCTGCTCTGCTTACTTCAGCTTTTAGGGATGATCCTGTCCATGTGCCTCTGCAAGAGTGTCCAACAGGAGGATTACACCAAAGTACCCAAATACTGAGAGCAAACCCCTCTTCAGTGACTCACCCCACATCAGAAAACACCAGTGTTACAGCCTCTCCACACCAGCAACAACTGGAACAAAGCATCACCCACATACACATATCCGTTCTTCACTTTATTATCTCCCTTAAACATCGAAACATCATCCTGTTTAGGATCAGCATTTTACGATGAGGATTGTTGTACCTTTTTCTTTTAAAGAAACTAGTGATCTTTTCTTGTTAGTGCTCTGCGGGGTCTGAATAGCTTTATATTTGTATAGCTACATATACTGTACGCTGACTGTTGCATTTATGCTTTTCATTGTTAGTTGAATCTGAGAGCACTTTAGTGGATAGCGAGTTTGAAATGGGAAAGAGCTATTAGCTACTTTTAAAATATTTTTATAAACTAGAGGGGAAAATCAACACTTGTTTTTTTTTTTAACCTTTTATCATTTTTATTTGTTTTAGAATTGTGTATTTTCAGTTTGGTTATGTGTATATAAATACGATTGACATACTTCAATGAGGTTTATTCTTACTGAATAACTACTACATCATAGTTAACGCAGCACTTGATGGCTTTTCTGCATGTATGCGAAGTGTTATTATCCGGGGCTGGGTCGCTCCGGGCGGAGGCAGGTGCGGTGTGGGTAAAGATGGCTGAGGTTGAGGAATGTTAGGGCAAATGACAAGTCGTAGTGTAGCGTTTCTTGTGGTTTACATGTGAGTTGGCCTACATCTCTCTGGATCAGGGTGTGTATGTGGATTTAGGTTGGGTGCGTATCCCACAGATCCTTCTGCTGTGATGGTGTGGGTAAAACAGCTGTTCAAGTATGTCTGTAACAGGCATTAGATACAGATCCTGCTGACTAGCTTCAGCTGTAGCCTGCAGCACCACAGCAACGTAACATCTGTCTTCCTGATACTGACCCATTTCAGCTGAACCAAAACAGGTCTGCGTGATGAAGTTGTGCGAGGCTTTTTAAAGGGGTCATATGATGCTATTTTAAAGATCATTATTTTGTGTATTTGGTGTAACAGAATATGTTAACATGCTTTAATGTTCAAAAAACACATTATTTTCAAATACTGTACATTATTGTAGGTCCTATATGCCCCGCCTCTCTCAAACGCTTCGTTTTCTACAAAGCCCCCTCCTTTGACAAGCGCAGTCCGCTCTGATTGGCCAGCTGACCCAGTGCACTGTGATTGGCCGAACACCGCAAGCACTCCTCGGAAATGTAAGGCCCCTTACCATAATTGCGAGCTTCAGAGAAAGGAAAACTTGAAATCGCATCATATGACCCCTTAAATATCTTTGCGTTTCTTCTTTTTAATATTTGTGTGTCTATGGTTTTATTATTTCGAGTGAAGCTGATGTAGACAGTGTCAGCTTTTTGAGTTTAGTAAGCCTGGTGTTGTTCATATCAGCAGTTTCTGAGGAATAGTTTGGGCCGTGTTGATGCTGTCAGAAGTGTTCGTTCAGAACAGAAGCAATCAAAGCTGCTTCTGAGAAGACGAGAGAAAAGAATGTCCCAGTCGCTGTCCGGAAGGCCATTTCCAAACACTTTCTTGCTTTTAGACAAGAAATCTTTCTAGCTTGGTCCTTTCAAATAAACTGCTGTAATGTGATACACCTAGATTAAATTAGTCATTCCTCTTTATGATTTTTCATATTTCAAGATTTATTAATACTTTTTAAGTCTCTTTTTTGTGTTTTGTCAAGAAGCTGTCTCCTAGAACTCTAGTTTAGATACTGAACAGCATTTTTTTACTCCAAAATGGACAAATATTTGGATAACTGTATTTCTGAGGTAAAGTGAAGATGAAGGGCTTTTTTCTACATTTCTTATACATGATTTTCTGTTTAACTGGGAAGCCATGTTTTTCGTAGTGAGTTTTACCAGCTGCTTTAGTACAAAACAATGCCTATGCAATGGTTATGAGTTGGATTTAAAAGAAAACTTTGACACAATATGTGTGATTTCCATTGTGATTTGTTACTGAGTGTTACTTTTATTCTTTGTTCATTTCAATCTCATGTAACATTATGAGAGACCAAACTCCATTATAGACCTTATCTTCCTTTCATTAAATAGTACATTGTAATGGTCTGCATATTTTTGTGTGTGTGAATGGAGTCTCTTACATTAACCACTGCTGCATTTATTTGATTAGAAATACAGTAAAAAATATTAATGTGAAATATTATTAAAATAACAGTTTATTTTTCATATATAGTCTTTTTTTATACATTTATTTTAAAACGTATTTCTGTGATGGAAAAGCTGTATTTTCAACAGTCTATTTTCACGTGATCCTTCAGAAATCATTCTAATATGCTGATTTGGTGCACAAGAAACATTTCATATTATTATTAATATGTAAAACAGTTGCACTAGTTAATGTTTTTGAGAAAACTGCAGGTTTATTTTTTTTCGGGATTCTTTGAAGAATAGAAAGTTAAAAAAATAAACTATTTAAAATAGTACTTTTGGTGTCAATGTATAAGTTTTTACATACATTGACATTTTGATCAATAATAAGTACTAATTTCCTAAAGTATCAAAGTTTTACTGACTCCAAACTTTTAAATGCAATATTCAGATAGGACATTTATACACGATCTTTCTTAATTCTAGCTGTTGAGAGCTGCATTGGAAGTTGTAACCAGACGAGGTCGCTATTGGTTAATATGAGATCATGTAACTAAGGTTACGATAACATTTAGGTCGTACTAGCACAGTACATGTTAATATTCAACTTGAATCATACAATTCATGCTATTTCATGTCGAAAACGACGGCATGAAGTTTTACATTTCATCCTCTTTTCTCAAAATATATAATAATTACAGACAATATACAGAATCTTTTAATTCCTCTGATTAATTTATAATTAAAAGGTCATGCATTATGAATGTTATTTGTGGCTAATGATATATCCTCAGATCCCCACAAGAGGTCAGTCATTATATTCTCATTGAGGTCCAGTGGTCTGTTCTAATAGCAGGAAAAGAATGTGGTTTGAAACGACGATGAAAATCTTCTCTGCCTCGTATGAAGCTCTGCGGTCCCATAGAGAGAAAGGAAGAAACAGCTTTGCTTTCTGTCACGGAGGACAACTGACCTCAGAACCGCTGCCAGGAAATGCACGCTGGTGGTTTGCGTTTGAATATGATCTAAATCCATGACCCAAATTCAGTTATTCAGTTTCATATCCAATAAATTTTTTATTGTTCTCCCCTTAACAAATCTGCACTGCTTTTCAAATGAGTGTGATTTGTACACTCGCAAGTTGTTATATAGAGGGCTCACATTCTAGAGCAAATGCTGAATATGTTTTAATCTAATGGTGTAGTTTTCAGCTATTAATTGTATAACCTCCCATATGCGTGATGAATAGAGGTTGGAAAGTAATCATCAGCAGCAGAATATGGAAGTTGGCTCATTAAATGTATGATGCATCGTCTTCTTGTACTCCTTTCATAAGTCAGAGGCTTTCCTGGAAATGGAAGCGTCAGCGAAAATTCTGTCAGGATTAGCCTACATAAACAAACTAACATTAACTAGTGAATTGAATTGAACTGTTCGAAAGAACCAGTTCACGGAAAAGAATCGGATTTCACCGTTGCCTTGTTTACAGGTAATAATGTTGTAAATAACGTTCAGCTTCATGCACAGACCGATTGTTTAGTTTCATAAGACCTCAATATATCGTCAGGAGCCACAGGGTACAGGGGCGGACCTAGAAAATATTTTTTTAGGTTGGCAAAGGGGTGGCATGGGGTCTATGAGGGGTGGCAACACCAAAGCAAGCCCCCATATAATTTTTGGGGATTTATGGTCTGACATACACAGTTGTGTTCACAAATATTGTATTACCATTAAGTAATCATCTATACTGTTTAAAATGAAAAATAAATATTTCAATATCTATCATGGCACCAAGTCAATACACAATATAAACAAACTTCAACAGGTTATAAATGTTTTTGAGCTTGTATCACTAAAGAAGACATGCGGTTCTATTAAAATTGCATAGGCTATTTAGATGTATAATCACGTTTAGT